CCCCCCCCCCCCCCCCCCCCCCCCCCAAGGCCCCCTGTCGTCCAGGGGCCCTAAATTTCGCCCGTCCGTCCGTCTCCTGCTTACCAAATCTGAGCTCGAAAATATGAACCTGGTCGACGGGTGCATCTGCAATAGAACAAGGCAAGAAATGACTGAGACGATGAAGGGTCAGGGCCTCCCTTGTGCTATGTCCGTTATGGGAACCCTGGGGACAGAAATTTTGTGGATGGTGAAGGGTAAATATTGAGGGAAGGGATTTTACTTCGGAATCAAGTAGGATCTGAAGAGGAGGGTCTACGAGAAAGGAAGCACGTAACAATATCTTAGACGGAGCTGAAAGCTTGGAAATCTAACGAGCAAGAAAAAAAAAGAGGACTGTTAAAAAGCGTAGAACAGCGGAGCTGAAAGGGACAAAATGGATGTGTCAGGCTATTCCATAGCCTGCGGACTGACTGTGGATTCCGTATTTTCGGACTTTCGACGGATTTTGGATTTTCAACGGGTATATGAGATATTGGGCCGCTGTAAGAAAGGCCTAGAAAGATTGTGGATGGTAGCAGCGCAGAGGGGAAAAGGAAAAGGACACAGTGGATTTGACAGACCGGACAGCCTGAGGATTAACTCTGGAGTCTGTAATTTCGGATTTCAGCGGATCTCGAATTGTCAACGGATATATGGGCCTCGCTGCACTACTCCTGAAATGCACAAAAGACAAAAATGATGGCCGCGTATCTTTCCTTATTCTAGCGGAAGATTCACGCTCGTTTTGCACACTTCGAGAGTAGTGCTGCGAGGCCCTATCATCAGGTACGGGCCGCTGGATGTAAGGCATAGGAATCTGAAGTACGGTAAATAACGACTGACGTAAGAAAGGAAATTTTGGGAAACGGTAATTAGTAATTACAGGTCGGACTGTGGTAGACTGTAGGCCTAGTCTTCTACTTTTACCGCTGGATGTGGGCGGTAAAAGTAAAAAACTAGGCCTGAGGTAATTCCTGAAAAGATGTGGAGGTACGGGGAAGTTAGGAGGATGGGAAGAAACAAAGAGGTTGAAAGAGGTTGAGTAAATATTAGGAGCATTTTTTATTTTTATTTTTGAAATATATTACGAGCGTTTCCCTGATTACCCGTCATCCTGAAGTTGCCTCCCCCTGATGAGGCTGGATCTGGCACATAAGGGGGATATGAAACTGGCAGGGGGAAGCCAGAGCACTCTACTTGTTGGGATAGGAGAGTACACCATAGTGGTGGATATGGCGTTCGCTAGGGAGCGGTGTAGTTCCATGGTTAACGACGAACTCTTTGGGTTTTCTCTGAGTATTTTTTGCTGAGTTCAACTGGTATTCGGGATTTTACATATTTTGCAGGCTGACTATCTCGTGAGTCATAACTTGCCATGTGATGTTTTGGTCACGATATACGTTGTGCCTAACTTGGTCAATCGTTCTTGGAAAGTGTGAACCTGGGCATAATCAGTTTGCGTTCCTGCTTTGTCAGCATGAACCTGGTTGTAATCATGTTCGTGCTTTGTTCGCGTGAACCCGGTCGTAGTCATGGTCATGTTCGTGCTGTGATAGCATGAACACCTCACACCACTTGGTAGCATGTGCTCGACTCCAAAACCTGGATGCACACATGGCCACAGGTCTTCACTGCAATATTACGCACCAGATGTGCGAATTGGCGAGTGCATCTTCACCTACAAGTTGGAAAGGTACGCTGCCGATTTTCTCGTCTTGCTCACATTTGGAGAGTGGCAGAGTGAGTGCCATAGCTCAGTGTGGACTGGACCTCTTCAAGGCACCCATAGTGCCGCACATGGAAGGAAAGAAAAAGGAAAAAAGGTCTCTTTGCCATGTCCAGAACGTTTTCTGCCGAGGATGGGTGAAGAGAGGGGGGAGGTGGAGAATCTCTTTGGGTGCTGTAAGCTTCTAGAACTCTCTCAGGGTGCTGCTGCAAATTTGGATTTCGGAAATGGGACTTCCGTTTTCGGTTAGCGGTTGGGACTTTCCCGACAATGCTTCGACCTTCTAGATACCCTGGAACCGTCCAGAGTCCAGACCCTACCAGGGACTCTACCAACCTGGACTAGTTGGGACTGGGACCCCCTGGGACTGGGCCCAACTGGGACTGGGACACTTTGGGACCTTGGAACCGGGACTAGGTGCGACTGGGACCATCTCCAACCTCGGACTGGGCCCAACTGGGACTGGGGCTGTCTGCAACGTGAAATCCTTTCAATAGACTCTGAGGTAAAGCTGTTTCGAATTTGGACCAGATTCTGCTCATCTTAGTGTGCTTTATGTCGGTTGCTATAGAGGTAAAAACTTAAAAAGCTGTTTCAATTTTGGATCTCTGCTTATCAGGGCGGAAAAAGCGTTGTTGTGCCGACGGTTTACAACACACCTAGCTTCTGATGATTACCACACACCAAACAATCTTCTTTGTTTTCCCTTTTTTTACTCTCTTTTTTTTCYCCCCCCCCCCCCTCCTCTTCTTCCCGCCCCCACCCACCCACCCCCTTTTTCTTGGCAGTTAATGCACACACCCAACAAATCTTTTCGTCAGGTCGTAACAGTTCAGCTAGAATGGTCATTATGGTGTGTGTGTGGGGTTGATGTGATCTTCTGTAGCTCTGATGTGTGCGGTCTGAACTTGTTGTCTAACGTGGTATTTGGGTTTCTGGTCTGATGTGTTCGATCCGTGCAGTTTCATGAAGCGATAATGCGCGAGGCATCTCCTGAGCATGAAGAAGGCATTGTGATGAGGGAGTTTCGAAAAGGTTTTGTGTTGGGTGAGAGGCTGATAAGGCCTGCGATGGTAATGGTTTCTTCAGGACCGCCGGCGGCCGAAGAGGCGGCACCTGCACAGGAGGCACCTGCTGCAGGAGAGGAAGTAGGTCAGGAACAGGCGCAAGTAGAATAGGCAATAGGGCGTAGAGGAGAGGAGGGATGAGGAGTGTAGCGGGCGGCGGGAGGGGAGGAGGAGGGAGATTGCAGGGGACGCGTCGATGGAAATGAAATGGAGATAGAAATCCGTTGTGGGTTCATCGGAGACAGATGGACGGAGGAACGGGAGAACAAGAGGGGAGAAGATAGCCAAGCATAGTCCCAACTAATAGAATGATTAAGGTAATGATAGTCCCAACTAATCTAATGATGAAGCTAGTCTTGAAATTGTCTTAGTAGAATATTCTGTGATATGTTTCTGTGCAGATTCGCTTAGGTCAGGAAAAATGGTCTCTGGTTCGCTGATGAGTGTGTGTGTGTGTGTGTGTGTGTGTGTGTGTGTGTGTGTGTGTGTGCATCAGTTCAATTTTCAGGCAGGAGTTTTTTGTTCATTTTGTAATTGT